CAGAATTTTTGGGAAACTTCTATAGAAGAAGTGATAGAAACAGAATTATCTTATATAGCGCAACATAAGTTAACTATAAGGATTACATTGGAACTAGTTTAAGGTCGATTGTGTCATGTAGTGTCACTAATGGAGTTAATTGGGATGAAGAGATTGTGGTAGAAAGAATTTGTGAAACTAACTATGATGTCATAACTATCGAGAAAAAAGGGGAATCATATTGCAGATCATCATCAACTTAATAGAGTAACTGGTGCTGAAAGCAAGTGATCTTTTGAGACAATCTATAAATTTTCTTAACTGATGACATCACTAATTGAATTGGCTTGATGGGAGCATGTTTTATTTAAAGGAAAAAATAAGAGAAATGATTGACGTTGGTATTGATTTTAGATTTTTTTGATCGAGAGAAAGAGAAATGTAACGCCCTAAATTTTCATAATATTAATCATTATTGTTGATGTAGATAGATATGTGAGTATTTATATGAAAATGAATGTTGGAATGTGCACTCAAGTGCGAACTGATGGAATGCGAATGACATTTTAATATGTGGTAGTAATGTATGAGTATATATGTATGTGTATGTGAATGAATACGAGAATGTTGTGCGGGTATGACTGGAATGAGCTGGAAAAAATAGGCTAAGTAGCTAGTGCAGAGTGTTCTCGCTGCAGCGAGAAGATCCTCGCTGTAGCGAGAGCGCCCTGGGAAGAAGAGGGCTAAACTGTCGCCTTCTCACTGTAGCGAGAGGATCTCGCTGTAGCGAGATTCTGCAGAAACCAGGGTGCAGTTTCATCTGAGATTTTCGCTGTGGCGACAGATAGCGTTGCTGCAGCGAGAATTTCTCGCTGTAGCGAGAGTGTCGCGATCTGAGGGGTTTTAAAAGAGGGCTTAGGGATTTGAAGGTTATTTCTCAAATCCTCTCCCCAATCCCTTCGATTCTCTCGATCCCAAACCCCTTTCCCACCGATTGATTGCCTCCAAAGCCGTTCGTGAGCGAGATTGGAGCTCAGATTCGTGTGGGGAACACTTGGAGGTGAGTTTTAATGGTTAGAGTTTCATTTTTTTCCTCTCCTTTCTCTATTTTGGGGTGATTTCAGGGGTTCTCATGAAATTAACCGTGTGTGTAGGCCGAAATTTATGGGGAGAATGTTTCCAAGATTGAATCCAAGTGTGGGTCTTCAATCCGAGGTAAGGAGGGACTCTACCCTACTCTTTTTATGTATAATTAACTGCAAAATTGATTGAATATGAAAATGTGGCTGAGTTGAAGGATAGAAAATGTATAGGGAAGGGAAATGGTCGTAGAAGGTGATGAGGGCCATGTGCCGGGGCTTGTGAATATTATGTGTGTGGATGAGAATATGAGTATTGGATAAAATTTGTTGTGCTTGATGATGTGTGAACAAGTGTGGGCCGAGTGCTGTATAATAGAACTGACTGTGGGCTACGTATCATGAATTGTGACTGAACATAGGCTAGGTGCCGTATGGTATGACATGACTGTGGATAAATTGTTGTGTTATGGATAATGGTAGGCTATGTGCCGTGTTTTAAAAATGAATGTGGGCCTGAAGCCATGTATTGTGAAATAAAGTGAATAGGGCGGGTAACCGCCGGTATAAACACTGAAAATGGGGCGAGTTGTCACCGGTATAAATACTGAGAATGGGACGAGTTGTCGCCGATATAAATACTTTGAAGAGGAGCGAGAAATCGCCGGCGTAATGTGTTGTGAGGGGGGCATGCTAACGCCAGTGGAATATGTTGTGAATGATGAGTATGAATTGCTGTAGGTATAGTAAGTGCATCAGTATTTTAATTGAAACGAATTGTACTGAAATGCTGCTTGTGGATGTACTATCTACTTGCTAGATATATTTAAATGGTTTGAAGGTGAGACTCTATGTTTGATTGTATTTGGCAGTGTAGAGTACTCACCCTTACATTCATTTTTCAGGTAATTAAGACAATCAGCACCGAACACAGTGCAGGGACGGATGAACTGCTATAGGGCTTAGGATAATATTTTGAAATTTTTTGTATTTTGAACTAGCCATGTGGCAGTTGTTTGATATAATCTTGTAATCCTTCCTCGTTTTTGAAATATTTTATGGAAATTTATTATTTGAATTTTGCAAAATTGTTATCTATTTGAAATTAAAATTAAGGTGTTACAAGAAATGTGAAATATAGTACAAGCTGTAATTGTCAAAAATTAGAATAAAGGAAAATTTTTATGCGCTAGGCATGCATGGCCACATGAAGGAAAATATTTGCTATATCAAAGGGACAAAAGATTAAAGTGATTACCCGATTAAGGAGAGTTATATGACCAATGAAGTAAGTGGGTGAAGTCTCTGAAGAATTGTGACTTCGAGTGGTTATACCCTTTTGATGGAATAACTATTGTAGCTACTATGTTAAGTAGGAAATTATTATACAATTCAACCTAAGAGTTTGTTTTTGGAATCCTTAAGGAATATCAACAATTTACTAGTGCAGATTTGAACTATAATAAGGAAGTAGATATTTAAGCAAGATGATGTGATGAAGAAAGAAGTTACAGATAAGGAGTTGCACTGCAATATTAGCGAACTCATCAAATTCAAATATAGAATATAAATTTCTCAAATAAAGAATTAAAGCAAATAATATGCGAATAAGCACCATGAATAAGTTAAGGTGATTAGAGACGAGAAAGAAATCTCACAAGGCATGAGTAGAGTAGCAGTGATCGATGCAGAAATTTGTTGGAATTTCAAGTTAAGAATCCAATTTTCTAGAGCCTTAGACCTTTGAAGGTACATAAGGGACATTTTGGTACGTTTAGTGATGAATGAATTTTGGGAACGAAATTCCTAAAAGGGTGGAAGAGTTGTAACAGCCTCATTTTGTTATTTATTATTATTACAATTTATGTTAGTTGTTTGTGCATGTTGTTTGAAATTAGGAGTTCTTAATTAATGTGAACTACATGATATCTTACTATAGTAAGAGAAGTCATCCATAATTAGGCTCTCTAGATAAGGATGACCCGACAGAATTCTCGCTGTAACGAGAATTTTTTATTGTAGCTATAATGACAAATAACAAAGGAATAATACTATCTGATTTTTTCGCCATAGATAGAATTTGCTCATTTTCAGTTATTCAGATTTTACACATATAAAAATTCTTTTTATATTTATTTATCTTTTACTTATTTTAATCACATCATATTAATATTTCTATTTTTTTAGAAAAAAATTATTTAAATAAATATGGAATGTTACAATTAGGGTACTCCCTTTTTGTATGTTTCTGTGCAACGAGAAGTGAAACCTTATGTGTGAAGTTTGAGTGTGTTTCAATGATCCTACATTGCACAAATTCATGCAAAAATCAATTAGCTAAATAATAAAGTACTAATAATAAAAAATGCAAAAATAAAAAACTAAAGTTGTCATTTACAATTTATAATTGTACTTAAAACAAGCTTAACATCCCCAAAAATTTTAAAAAGTTTAAAATAAAAATAAAATACTTCAACTTATGAAGCTTGGTCATGATCTTTCTTAGTTAGAACCAGTGTTTAGGTTGGCTCCTCCACCACTAGTTGCTCCACCTGTTCAACTAAAATCTCTTCTCTACACTAAGTGGTTATTGTGTAATAATAATAATAATAATAATAATAACCTTTTTAACCTAGTTTATTAATAATTAAAATGTAATAGAAATCATTTATTACATATTTACTGAAAAACAAATATTATTCAAGTACGAGAACTTAAAATGAAATAATGAAACGTCGTGTTCATGACTTTTAATATTTCAAAATTCTTTAAAGTAATGAATCATTTTCTAAATTCTATTAAAAATTAATTAGAATCCTTATAATTTTGACACGTTAGTTATGTAGAAAATGAGTTGATAAAGTTTTTTTGTTAGTTAACGAAGTGATATCTATATTTAGAGATTATATCTTTTGGTGATATCTTTATTTTAAAAGGATCAGTTTCGTAAAAAAAAAAAAAAGTTCTCTAGTGTCACGCAAAGTTACTACAAATTGTTTGGCTTTGCATTCCAAAGAAAAGCTTTTACTGTCTCGAAATGACTTACAATTCCGTATAAATATCTTTGAAGAAAAAAAGTTCTTCTCTAGTTAATGAAGTACATGAACTTTAATATTTTACGTTACATTTAAATATACAACTTAATTAAATATTTTTTTTAAATTATGATTTATGTGCTATAAATTAAAAAAGTTTAAAACAACTTTAAAATAATTTATTTAATAAATTATTCTAAAAACATTAAAATAAACTAAATTACTTACGGTAATTAAAAGTTATTTTCACTCATTATCAATAAGCTTACCAATACTCAAAAGAATTTATAAAGGTTATAAGTTATTTTTATAAGTTTTACTTCAGCTCTTTCGAACTCATCCAATATCATATATAATAAATAAATTATAACTTATGCTTAATTTTAAGACATTTGTTTCCATTTTTATTTAAGATTTGATTTTTGTATGATTTCATACTAATTTTACACATTATATTATTGTTATATTCGTAATATAATTTTTAAAGCTTATTATATTTCTCGTATTTATATCTTAGTGTTTATGTATCCTATGTCATATCTAATCATATGTACGTATACATATATATACATATATATATATATATATATATATATGCTGGTTATTATCTATTTTCCAAATTTTATTATTTAACAGTTTTAAAAATAAATTAAGATGTATGAAAAACTTGTCCCCACCGGAGCAACTTCATTATGCGTAAACAGCCTTATAAAGAGGCGATCATGACCCGTGACAGGACTTATCCCTATTGAGATTGTTGGCCTCCTAAACAGAAAAGCACCTAACACTAGTAATTATTAATAAAGATGATTATTGTTATCCAACCATGCTATCTGTATTCAGATTGCTTTTTGAATCTTCGAATTAAGTGCAAATTGAGTCATTATTGACAATCTTGCATTGAAACAACCATGCTACACTAATTGTCCAAATATATAACGTAGTGCAACCAAGTGTGCCTTGCCTAACAACAGAGTATGGAGAGCCAAAGACAACTCCCTGTGTCAAACTTGGGCCTACCCAGGAAAGGAACCACCTTCTTCAAAACATGTTTCAATGGACTCAACGCCGTGGCAGGTTTCTCATTCTCTCCCACACTTTATACTACGAAGAACAAATATCACAGACGATACACACTTCCCCACCCTTGACAAAATTAATAAAAGGATATGGGTTTTAGTATGTTAATTCCGCAATGCTAATTTGCAAAACATGTCGGATAAGAATATTCTTTTTGAATGTCACAAACACGATAATTTTTCAATCATTAGTATTGGGAAAATTGCATGATTTCTCACTGTTCTGACACAAATTCAAATACTTTTTGGTATCCTCATAAATTAAGCTTCTCCAAATTTTTACTTTCCTCCAATTTTCGGTCACTAAATGGATAGTAACCTCCAAACCAAAGGGTGAGTAAGTAAAATTGCAGACTTCGAAGTACAAAAACACAAAAATTTACGACAGATAGTTTATTTAGCTATAACTGATTGTGTATTCTTATGGTGTGTGCTTATCGATAATATTCTTGTATAACATGATTTTTCAGGTATTGGGGTACTATCAATGCCGTATGCAGTTTCTCAAGGAGGGTGGCTGGGTTTTATGATATTATTTCTTTTTGCTATGATATGTTGGTACACAGCGCTACTTCTAATAAGGTGTATGAATAATAATCCACTAATCAAATCCTACCCTGACATAGCTGAGGTTGCTTTTGGGAACAGAGGAAGAGCTTTTATATCAGTTCTCATGTACGTAGAGCTGTTTTTAATTGCAGTGGAGCTTCTGATATTGGAAGGTGACAATCTGGAGAAGTTGTTTCCAAACATGAACTTCAAAATTAATGGTCTTAGAATCGAAGGTAAAAGGGGTTTTGTCCTGTTAGCATCTCTGGTCATACTACCAACAACGTGGTTGAGAAGTCTGGGAGCACTGGCCTACGTTTCTTTTGGAGGGGTATTGGCTTCGTCTATTTTAATTGGTTGTGTTATGTGGGTGGGTGAATTTGATGGCGTGGGGTTTCATGAAAGAGGCCACTTAGTGAATTGGGTTGGCTTGCCTACCTCGATTAGCCTTTTTGCCTTCTGTTACTGTGCGCATGCAATGATGCCCACACTTTGCAACTCTATGAGTGACAGAAGTCAGTTTCCAAAGGTAACGAAAAGAAAATAAATGTTTTTTTTGTTTGTTTAGATGACAAAATCGATGTGCAGTCTCATAAATATTTCAGTTTGTTTTTCAATTCAAATTAAAATTTTATCACAACAAAAGATCAACATTTAAAATTGTTATAAGTTACTGAAATAAAATTCTAATTTTGATTAGAACCTAACATTAAAAATACCTAATAAATTGTACTAAAACTTTTATTTTGTTCTAATTCATCTCTAGAAATCCCAAGGGAGGTCACAACTTTCTCTGCCTTGAAATGAGACACTATTTTCTCCTTTAAAAATTTTGGTACAAAAAAAATTCATCTGTAGAGGCTGGGAGAATGACCCAAGTCTAACTACTACTTCAAATCCAAGTGATGAAGTTTGGCCGTTGTTTTTAGGAGTAAGTTTGCCCTTTCTTATATCTTCATATATGCAGAAATAATGACACTCTTATTGTTTGCCAATTGCAGGTTTTAATGATTTGTTTTGTGGCAAGCACCTTTATCTATGGATTCATTGGTATGTTAGGCTACAGAATGTTCGGCGATGGTTTGAAGTCTCAAATCACTTTAAATCTACCCACACAAAAAATGAGTACTAAAATAGCAATTGTTACCACAGTAATCAATCCTTTCACCAAGTATGCTGTTCTAATCACCCCAATAGCAGATGCTATTGAGGACAAATGGCTTCTCTGCAAAAAAAGGCCTATTGCCATTCTCATTAGAACAAGCATCGTGCTCGGCACTGTGCTTATGGCGCTATTCATGCCATTCTTTGCGTACATTATGGCTTTTATTGGTGCATTCATGAGTGTGACAATCTCACTTTTGTTCCCTTGTCTTTGCCACCTAAAGATAAACAAAGCTTCACGGCGATTTGGGTTGGAATTGATCTTAATCATGGGAATTCTGATCATAGGTACATTCATGGGAATATTGGGTACCTACCTCTCTGTGAAGCAAATTGTGACTAATCTATAGCCATCGAAGTGCGTCCATAAAGGTTGTAAAAGATTACTTCAGCAACTCTACTAGTAATGTACGGTACCAAATAATGATACACTACATTCCTCGTTAATTTAAACGTAGAGAACCATGCCGCTAATGTTTAATTCCGTTGTAGTTGTTAGTGTTTCATTGTGTTTGTTTTATTTTCCTATTGTACTAAAAAATGGACAGCAAAGGAAGCCTTCAATCTTGTGTGATTACTCATTGATTCCTATTTCAGATATTAATTCAGTTCCCATGTGAATTTCTTTCTAGATATTGGCTTATTAGTTATTTTCGTAAATCGTGTGAAAGCCAAACAGAACTTAGCAGATTGGTTGTAGTTACTATTTCAGAACATGGCATCTAATTATAATTAGCACAAGAGTCAGAGGAGTAAAATAGAGTCTTAAGTTAACATATTAAGACTATTGGTTTTCTCTTTAGAATGAAATAAATATAAGTTGTCATTGAATCTGATAATTTTTTTCCGAGTAAGATTTTATATCACGAAAAAATAGTTTTTTGAAAACTAAAACTATTGATATATTATAATTTTTTAAGGATTTGATCATCTAATTACTTTTTTTAAATATTTAATAGTACTATATATCAAAATATATTTTTTAGATTAAATATATTTTCACTCCTTCAAAATATACCAAAATTTTATTATAATTTTTATAAAATTTTTAAAAGGCTTAATATGTTATTAGTCCCTACAAATGTAAGTTCTTTTATGATAGGTCCATATAAATATTTTTGTTAAAAAATAGTTCCTGAAAAGTTATAAATTTAGGATTTAGTCTCTGCCTTTAATCTCCTCTTTGTTAAGTGTAGAGCTGGCAAAAAATTAGCTCAATATTCCACGTAGCGCCATGTGGCCATCTTGAGGCCAATTATAGTCTATATAATATGTCACATCATTTATTATTTTCAGGCTTAAATGTGTTATTGGTCTCTATAAATGTAAGTTTCTATAAATATTTTTATTAAGATTTAGTCTCTATAAAGTTAGAAATTTAGGATTTAGTCTCTACTGTTAACTTTATTCCATTAAGTGCTGAGCTAGCAAATAGAAAGGTAATTCAGTTAAAATAAATATTTAAAGAAAATGTCTCTGAACACTTCTTTAGATTCTTCCACTCGATATATTAAAAAATTTCATGCACTTTATGTACTTTAATTTTTCTATTGTTCACCTCAATATCCTGCAACAAAATGTCATAGTTTCTCTCTCACACCTTCCTATTCTCCATTCGCACTACCTCCTTTCCCACACTCTGTCTCACCAACACCCTTACCCTCACCTTGAACAAATTTTATAAATTTGCAAAAATGTCAATCTTCATTTCCATTCCATTAAGTCACATCCCAACCTTGAAGATGAATTCCAAGTTTCTAAGAAACTAGAGGTACATGAGGAAGCATAAAAATCCAAGTGGTTGGGATGGAAAAATAGGAAAAGGTGGGGAAAGAGTGGTGTTAAAGGGTGAGGGTGTGGATGTTGGTGAGAGAAGGAGTGTGGGGAAGGAGGTAGTGTGAATGGAGAATAAGAAGGAGTGAGAGAAGAACTATGACATTTTGTTGCAGGATATTGAGGTAAACAATAGAAAAATTAAAGTACATAAAGTGCATGAAAATTTTCAATATACCAAGTAAAAGAATATAAAAGAGTGTTCAGAAACTTTTTTTTTAAATATTTATTTTAAATAATAAAATATTATTTAAAAAGTAATATGGTATGGCAGTGCTAAGTTGGCTTTTTATCTGTCAGCTTAGCACTTAACGGAATAAAGTTGATGACAGGAATTAAATATTAAATTTTTAATTTTATACAAACTAAATTTTAACAAAAATATTTATAAAAATTTATCATAAAACAACTTACATTTATAAAAAATAATAATATATTTAAGTTTTTTAAAATAATTAATTTGACAGTAAAATAAAAGGATAAATTGAATGATAGCGTCTATAAAGAATAATATTAATAGTATTTTTAAGTTATAAAATTAATTTATTGACTAAAATTTTTTAAAAGGTAAAATAATAAAATATATAGCCTCGATGCTTTAACCTATAAAAATAGGTTTGGCACGAACACCAAAGCAAGGGCAGTTAGAAACTTTCTGCAAATTAAATCCAACCATAGCAACACTTTTGGCACAAACATCAAAGCATGTTAAGCGACATGTATTTCTCACTTTTTGGAGAAATGGATTCTGGTTTGGACAAACAGGCACTCACATAATAATAATTATAAACAAATTTAGATATATTTTTAAAAAAATTAAACTTTATTTCTTTAACTGGTACAATAAAAATTAATATCAACGATTAATAATAATTATTAAAATAAAGAATCAAAAGTTAATACCGGACATACCATACTATACCCAACTACTGATGCCCTTTAGTTATTGGTAGAATAGATAGAGATTCTCTTAGTATTATTAATATATTAAATTTTAACAATTAAATAATATATTTTAATAGATTTTAGCGGTGAAACTAAATACTACACATCTCTACGATGAAATTTTAATAGGAAGAGATTTTAATAGATTTTAACGATTATAATAGAATGTATTATAATAAAGCATTATAAATTATAGTATGTTTGTTTAAATATAATTAAACAAAAGTAGAAAATAAATAAAATTCTCTAATATAAAATTGTTTTTAAAATTACATTTTGACTAAAAGAAAATATTTTTTAAAATTTGATTTGTCACTTCTTTTATTGATTTACGTGAATATCTAAATTTTGTTTAAAAATTTTTATATTTATTTTTTAAAATTCTGAATATATTTTTATAAAAAAGAATAAAAATAAAATATTTTAATAAAATTAAATTTTGCTTTAACAAAATAAAAAAATTAAATTTGAATTGAAAAATAAAACATTGCAAATAATTAAACTTATAAATCAATGCTTACTTTATAATAATTTTTTTTAATTTTTAGCCTTTTATAAAAATTTTAAAAACAAAAATCATATTAACATAAAAGAGAGAAAACAATCATGAAAGGGGAATGAAAGAGAATAAAAAAAGATGAGAGTATTTTTGAACATAAAGAAAAAAGAAAGAAAATTGAGAGAATGAGAAAATAAAGAAAAATAAAAAAGTTCAGGAATTTTAAGTAAGTTCTCTGACACAAATTCACACCTTGAATGTGAATAAAAATCAATATAAAAATTTTAAATAATTATAAAAAGTTTAAAATCACAAACTACCGTTAAAGTTGCCTTATCACTACTTTTGTCAATAAAATTTTTGTCAAAACTACCACATCAGCCTTCCCCTCATCATCCTCACTACCACTATCTCCTTCTCCACCTTTCTTTCTCTCTTTTTCTTCTTCCACCTATCATTCTCAACTTTGAACAACTATTTTTCTCTCTACTTTTTTTCTTCCTCTCTCTCAACCCATATTTCTAATAATGAAAAAACCTTTCACACTCTATCTTCCATTTCTCTTCCTCTTCCTTAACCCACCATTCACATACCTCAACCATGAAAACTCTTCTCACTCAATCTATTATCTTTAACCATAAAAGTTTCTTTTTCTCAACTCATCATCCAATATGACTGCCATCAAACTTGTCTTCATCCTTTCCATGGTCTCTCTCTTAAGAAAATTCATTTGGTGCCCTAAAAAGAAAAAAAAATAATTATTTTTAAATACTTGACTCTTTTTTTGGTCTATTTTGCCTTATTTTTTCATAGATTATTTTTTATCCAAAATTTCATTTCCTTTCACCTTTTGGTAGCAAGTGATCTAAGTTACATCAAGTAATGACAATTATTTTTTTATTTATTTTAATCTATTTTTAATATAAATATTTTAGTTCTTATTTCTATTTTTAAAAGTGGTTCTTTTAATTTTATTGCTTATTAATAATAATAATAATAATAATAATAATAATAATAAAACATAAAAAATTGTAAATATATTTTATTTTGTCATCATAATAATTATCCACTAAAATTAAAATGACTCACACTTTTGAATTAATTATTTTTTGATATTCTCAACTTATTTTATTTTATTTTTTGTAACACCTTAAATTTAATTTCAGTAAATAAAGAATTTTCAGAAAATTTTGAAATAATAAAACTTTCATTTCTAATCCAAGTTTCGTCAAACATTTCAAAATAAAGAAAGGGGGTTACAATTTCATCAAACAGCTGCTATAGGACTTATTCAAATACAACAGTTTTCAAAATAATATTCTAAGTCCTATAGCAGTTCCATCCACCCGTTCACTGAGTCCGGTGCTGATCGTCTTGATTACCTGAAAAATGAATGTAAGAGTGAGTATCCTACACTACCAAAACACAATCAAACATAGAGTTTCACCTCTAACTCATTTCCAATGCATTTATTCAGATATAGCACAAACAACATCATTCTCCAGTACATTTTAATATATTAAACAAATACAATCACAGGCAGCATCATCACATCCATAAGCACAATTCATAAACTCGTGCATATATACACACGCCAGCCACACTCACTGTGGCACTGTGATCACAGATTTATACCATGAATGGTAGCCGGTTACCCATGTTTCATGGATACTATGTAGGCAGTCACGGGTCGCTCAACAAAGATAGTGGTCAGAAGTCTAGTCAAGAAGAGTGTGTGTGGCCCATGGTGCACTCGTTCCATAGTCGGTGTCACCACCACTCTTTCTTCCCTAAGGTATTTCTACCGTCCTCATCTTCCATACCCCAGTGTATCGCTGAACCATTCACAGCATATTACAACGGCGCTAACATGCCCATTCACACATATTCCATTCACGCATGTAGTAATCATGCTTACACCGACACACAGCCCACATTCCATTTCACAGCACACGGCACGCAGCCTACAATTATCGTTGATATTACACGACCCTTGAGCCCACATTTTCACAATATTCATTCAAATATACGGCACAAGTGCCCATACTCATTCTATCACACAACATTTACATA